AATATTGTTACAGTCTCTCAGTTTTCATTAACGAGAGGAAGACAACAGGGCTAAATGGAGACACGGTTCAAAAAATTTGCAACACTTAGTATTTTTGTATGAAGAACTTATGAAACATGTATTGTATTGAACCAAAAGAAAACACAAATGTAACAATATTAAGAATCTTGAGGTGAAAAGTGAAATGACAGAAATCGTCAACTGCAATTAAAAATGAGACTCATTTCTGAAATGAGTAAAAATGATCACCATTCCTTCATAACACTTAATGGCAATATTAGAATGTCTGCAATTGAAAATCGAGGCCTGTCGTATATGTTTGGTCATTCAGTAGCTGATTCATCCAAGGATATCTTCCAGCCATTGTTAAAATTCAACGATGGAGTCACTTTGAACCAAATTTCTATGTAGCATTTTCTAGACACCCAGGACATGTTGTGTAAAGGAGTGTCTCCTAATGCTGTTTTTTTAATGCACTTCAGTGTGGTTTTCATAAGTGTGCATGTAGAATGCTAGCTGTTTTTGCAGGTACTTTATTACCCTGTAAACAAGCCAGGTGCCATATACTGGACAATGCTTAAAGTATATCCATGGTCTTCCTATTCTTCAGTGAAACACAGTAGGTTGACACCTTGTGTAAGGACATTTTTTTATCTGTCGATCTCTTGTGATTTCCATTTAAATTGTAATGGTTTTCAATACAGCATGAGGTAAAAGGTGTATTTCACTTGGCGCTTATTTTGAAGGCATATTACTACAGTGCCCAGTTTAAAATATGATTGTTATTATTGGAGCATTGTAATATTTGATTTCCATGCAAAACTCAGTTACTGAATCTAATATTAATAATATTCATATTCAAAATGTTCTGTCTACAAAGACAATTAATTGCTTGGTGAGAGAGATTATTGTTTGGGGGTTAATACTGTATATACTGCATCTGTAAACACATTAAATGTTCAAACAATATATCTTCCTCGGACACCAGTTTTATTGAGCTCTTGGTGGTGATATGTGGCATGTCTTAAGTGATTATACATCACTGTCCTTCTCCACCCGTTCACCAGTGATTTGGATTCATTTAGCAATATTCCTCTTAATGATCTCTCATAGCTGGTTATAAAAGTGTCACTGTGGAACATTGCTGTCTAGGAAAATAGGAGCTCAAACTGTTTGTTGTAGCGGAGATTGATGTGGCAGCATTTTAAGCATTATCCCTTCATGACTAGCCTGCAGTTTTAAAAAAAACATTACATTACTTAACGTGCTTTGTATCATGAGCAGCTTATCACACAATACATTACTTAGTAAAGAAGAATAATACTTAAACTGACATTTTAAAGGAGGAAATTTTGGGGATCTTAAGTGCAATTTGCTTGGCCTATAAAAAATGGCAACATTCATTTTTGTTTTCAATTATGAGTGAACTACAAATATATTGTTGCAGGCATGTGGATAAAAATAATGTGTTTCATAGTGCACTTTCCAGGATAGGTATTATTTTGAATATTTTATCTTCATTCTTGACGTACTTCTTAAGTGACTTATGGTAAGGCACACAACACAGTCATAGCACTATTACCAGTCAGGGTCTGTAAAATAGTGCTCACATAGTCCACTTCTAGATGTAGTTGTGGTTTCACAATAATGTGAAGGGCATGCGATGGCCTCTTCTCATCCTTCCCTTATGGTATTAACATGTGACAAGTTTCACATCTTCGGAGAGCCCCTATAATTTAAAATAAAAGCTACACTGCAGTTGACTGTAGTAACATTAGAACATCTAGAACTCTAAGCTGATCTTGAACAAAGAAGCTAAATCTGGAATGTACTGCCCCTCAGAGATCACATGGAAAAGAAGCACTGTAAGGTATAGTAGAGGGGTAAAATGAGAACCCAATGTAAGGATGGGCTTTTCACAATGTGGAACGATTTGTGATTGTTCCACACCTGGAGGTAAGTGAAGAATGTCCACTGACCTACATTATAGGATGGCAAAGATGAATGAAGGTGAATGAAAGCAAAATGAAACAGACTAAATTAAAAACGTCACAATTGAGAAAAATCAAATACGTTTTACGAACCCCATAATGAGTGTCTTCCCACTTGAACAAATTGAGAGGCAGAGGTATATTCCTTTAATGTCAATTGGGTTTTTAGTCAGCTCATGTGACATTGAGTTTAAAAAGCTCTAATGTGCTAGCAATACATCCAAAGCCAATTTTTTTCATATTCCCCCCCTCCACACTAGTTAAAAATATTCATTTTCTGGCGATGGTTTCTCTAACAGCAGGCTGCCAGACATGCAGAATTCCCAGTTATTGTCTCAGAGCAAAGTTTGACCACATGTCTTCAGTTTTACTGAGCCAAGCAAGCTGTGCTGCGTCACACCTGGTACTGGAGTAAAATTGAATACATCATTTTTAGCATAGTATCTTTAAGAAACCAAAGATTCAGTAACAGCTGCAGTATAATTTCCTTTTCACATTCATTTTAAAACATGTTCAAAATATAGTATATTTGTTACAAATGTAAACAGAAAACGTTACCTGTACTGTGGTACAAACACTGTGCCTAGACAACACATTGGTACTGTTCCTACCTGTATACAGAAAAGGTATAGAGTTTGTCCTCAAACATTGTGACCCTGAAACTAAACATTCACTTACATGAGGTTGAATGTTGCTTTCTTTTTGATTTAATATACAGTAAAGTAAGCAGCAGCCCCAAGATTTTAACAGTGCTTTATGTGCAACTTAATATTTTTTTAGAACACTCTTACTGAGTTTGGGGAAGAATGCACAGTAACTTCAGTAATGGGTATGTCTTTACTTATTTCATATTCATTTTTGTGGTGCAGAGCTCTATCCGCAGATAATGGAACATATGGAAATAAAACATGCTCAAAAACGATTATGTTAATAGAAGATTTAAGATGGAAGATCTGCCCTGCAGTAAGTTTATAGAGTTATATGGTAATTTATGGTGGAGCAAGTAATCGTGTTCAGCAGCATGCAGTCAACACATTCCTGTGCTAAAAGGAAATGAAGAATATGATTTGAATTAAACAAGCCTAAAGACATATATAGGCAATAATCAAAGTCCTAATGCACTTCAAGCCCAAGATAGACCTGTATCTGTCACAGCAGGCTCTCTAGCTAGAATATAAATTATAGGTCCATTTGATAAATGACAGAGCCATTCCATTGAATAAATAAAATGCAACATTTAAAGAGCTTTTAAAAAAAAGATACCTGGAATCACAGCTCTAAGAAAAAGCCATGTTTTTTTATTTAACCTGCACTACTTTATGACACTTTAAGTGTTGTGAGAAGAAAGGGTTTTGTAGCAATTTCAGACAAACCACAAAAGTAGATTTTGACAATGAATGTTTTGTTGAAAGTCAAATCCTAATTATTCATTGGCAACACGTTCAGATGTTAAAACCATATTCCTTGGAACTATAGGGATCTTCAGGTATTTTAGGTATCAGCTCCACTACCAGTACCATAACCGGCCACTTGAAGTGCTTTGAAATGGTTTTGCAGGACTCGTTAAGGTTTGCGTTCCTGAAATCTGAAAGATGTGTCCATTTTATTTAAGAAGTGTTGGCTCCGAAACGTTTGTTTTGGACTCCCAAAACAACTTCAGTGAAATGCAACCGAGACTTCAGGTCGGGGAAAGAAATTAAATATGATGCCCATTTAGTTTCAGAGAGGTGTGTGTGCAAGATATGGTGGAGAGAGAGAGAGACAGAAGCAATAAAGGATATTGCACCGTTACAGCGAATGGGAAGCTTGAAGCTTCTTTGTAGCATAAAAGCTCTGGGGCTTTTCCACTGAAATATTGAAACAAGCAGAGAGTGATATATGGCACTGGTGTAGCTGGGAAATTGGGGGCTGGTTAAGGAGAGTGCTCCAGAGAAATGCAGATGGAATGAAATAAATTATTCTTGTGAAAAGAAGAAGAGAGGGGTGCTGGTAAAAGCAGGCGATACATACGGTGTAGTTATACATGTCAGTAGATGTATAAATATTGTGAGGGGCTGCCTTTCAGCAAATGCAGAAAGCATGACTACCCTGAATACAGATGACATTGCTCATCACCATAAGCTGATCACAACATTAAACCACAGCTGACATACTGACAGTATCTCAAGATTTAGGCACAAAAAAATATTAATTATAAACATACAGTGCCTTGAAAGAATCTGCAAGGAAGAATGGGAGAAACTGCCCAAATCCAGGTGTGCAAAGCTGGTAGAAGCATACACAAGAAGACTCACAGCTGTAATCGCTGCTAAAGGTGGTCCAACAAAGTACTGAATAAAGGGTCTGGATATTTTAGTAAATGGGAGATTTCAGTTTTTTATTTTTAATACATTTGCAGAAATTCCTAAAAACGAGTTTTCACCTTGTCATTATGGGGTAGTGTGTGTCGATTGATGGCAAAAAGAATCAATTCAATCCATTTCGAAATAAGTCTACAACACAACAAAGTGTTGAAAAAGTGGAGGGGTCTGAATACTTTCTGAAGGCACTGCATATTTCAATGAAAAGCAACATTAGGAATTACTTCTAAAATACCTCTATTTTTATGATTTTTTTTCACACAATTAATGTTTACAACCAAGCAGAGTAAAGTGGACAAGATTTCAAATGACCAGATTGCTAACGTAGACGTCCGGTCCTGTTTGGAGTTCGACCAGTGCGTGCATGGATTTAGCATTGGATTTCGTATAAGTAAATTACTCCCAGCACACTCGAATTGAAGAAAAAATCAGTTCCTTTGATGTTGTGTTCTGTCAGTACATCTGTTCTTTTGTTTCTCTAAAATCAAGGGGGAGAAAAAGGCTATTTTTAGGGCAGTACGGTGCGTGGTGTTTACTGAAGCGTCAGAACAGCTGCCTCTTACAAAAACAAAGTGGTGTTTCTCATCTGGGATTTAATGGACAACCTGTCCTCATAGCTTAGCCATTTTTCCCCTTTCTCTTTTCTCAGCTCCCCCTAATTTCACGGAGACCCCGCCACAGTATGTGGAGGCCAAGGAGGGGGGCAGCATCACCTTGACCTGCACTGCCTTTGGTAACCCCAAACCCGTGGTCAGCTGGCTGCGAGAGGGACAGCTCCTGGGGGACAGTGGGAAGTATAAGGTAAGGCACCTCCTGGGGGACAGTGGGAAGTATAAGGTAAGGCACCTCCTGGGGGACAGTGGGAAGTATAAGGTAAGGCACCTCCTGGGGGACACTGGGAAGTATAAGGTAAGGCACCTCCCGGCTCCTCTACAGTGTTCTTGACCTCGATAGCCGCCAATCCAGACAACCGTAGTTTGAAACCTGCCCACCGTGCAGCAATGACGCTGACTTTAGAGGGCGCTAACGTCGCCAGGGTCCACCACAGGATGCATGCAGGAGGTCATGGACGTGTGGGGTTGAGCTGCAACACTTCCCTCACATGAGTACTTTCACTACCCCAGAAGACAGTACTTCCAAACTCCCAAAACCATCCCCAGTAGCACGCTACCAGCATTCCTGGCCAATCCATGTCACAATCAGTTGCTATCAGGGAATTCCAGATTTTGGGCTATTTAAGGAAAAATTATTTAATTCAATGGTCTCATTTGTATGTGCACTGGATAGCATGGTGCAGTTTTCACAGAGCATGCTGACTTGTTTTAAAAGCATTATATGTATATAATATAATGAAAGTGAAAATATGCATTCCCTATTTTATCTTTTATCCTGTTTTGCTCTGTGCCTCTTACCTGCAGAAATTACTAACCTCAGTTTAGAAGGGAGCTCTTTTGTAAATAATTCTTATCATTTGCATTTTTAAATTAGATAACACCTCCTCATGCAGAATGTTATGCACAGCTCAACTTTGCATTGTAAATGTCAGAAATTACTGTCTCTCAATATGTCTCTCATTTACTGTGTAATTCGAAATTCTCAGCCTAGGAAATTCAAGGCAGAATCTTAGGCCTTGTGCCTAATATTCCACAGCAGCATTCCTTGACAATGTCTGATACAATCAGTTATTACCAGGGAAATCCAAATTTGGGGTAATTAAGGAAAAATTATTTAAATCAAAGGTTTATGAATATACAGTATTAAACAAATCTGAGATGACCAGTTGTGCAAACTGTCAAGCAACATTAAAAGCGTAACACCTCCGAGAAGACGTGATGAGAAACATTCACCTCAAAGTGGTTTTCCCATTTTTATAGTATGATGTAATATTTTGTACAGATTAGGTCAGAAACTGCTGAAGATCCTGTTAAAAATACATCTTTCCTGTCTCTCTTGCTTGCTGTTTTCTAAAGCGCTGATAGCAACAACTGACATTTATTTCTCTGGTGTAGACTGACATTTCCGTTGTTATTTGGAGGTGCCACTCCCACTGGCGGATATATTCAGAGTGACAGGTTGCTGAAAATCTTTGCCAGGCCCAAAGCTTTCTACTAGTTAACTAGCTTGACCAGCTTCTGTGACCTGACCATGTAATTGATGAACAAAAGGTCAAGCAACACCTTTGTTATGTGTTATACCTAGGTCAAGCAACACCTCAGTTATCTACTGTATAGTGAGGTTGAATTAATTTTTCTTCGGTAAGTTAATCAATAGAAATAACATTTTTGTTGTTTTTAATATGTGTTTAAATTCATTTTTTAGTTCCAGGTTTCATGTTGATGTGAGTAGATATTACTGAACAAATATTCCAAACAGAGTCAAATGTAGTTCTATTGGAAGGCTGGTTTTGCAAGGCTAGGTGGAATTCATAAAGCATTTCAATAAACAGCTGATTTTTTTTTAGCTCTGAAGAGAACGCATTGATGTAAGTGGCACACAACTTTAAAAAGCTTATAATTTCTATTTTGTCTGGTGTAATAGTTCACATGAATAATTGTGCTTTGGGGCTAAGTGCCTTTCATCAAATGGGAAATATGGAGTATGTGGTGGTCATGGGTTAATTTGAAAAGATTGAAATGCACTTGAAAAATATTTAAGCTTAATGGTATAAAATGTACCGTGATTAGCAACAAATTTATGAGAGAAATCAATTTATTCTAAAAAGTCCTAAATTTCACCTACAGCAGGTGACTTTGTGGGTAACAATAAAAAAAGACTTGCTTAAATTTAAAAAAATAGTACACTCATGTACCCAAATGCCATTTAAACTGTGAACTACTGACTCCCAATAGATGTACAGAATTGAGATCGTGTTGCTTATGTGGTGCTCGCAGCAGCAAGACAGAATTGTGCAGTAACTCAAGTGAAAGCCAGGCCTGCCGCATGCAGAAATGACAACGTGTCAGTTGTCACAAACCAAATTGAAACGTATCATCATCGCCATGGCTACCCTTGCCGGTTTGCTGCATGTGCACATTCTGGCATCATCTTTCCGGGGGGGGGGGAGCAGTGACGTTTACAGCTAAATTCCTGGAGCCCCTTGTCGCGCTCTGGAATCTCCTTTTGAAAAGGACACCGCTTGAAGCAGCCCCATCAGCAAACCTAGCAGCAAAGTCAGGAGGTCCTGTGAAGTCCTTCCAGTGGGGTACCTTTGCATAGGAAGTGCAGTGCTGGCTGTGTTGCTTGTTAGAGGTGATACAGGCCTGTTTCTGTAAAGAAACAATCACGGCCTCGGCACTTATCTGATCTATGACCCTGCCTTATACCCATTGCCTGCTGGGATAGGCTCTAGTTCCCCTGCGACCCTGTATGTGTGTAAAGAGTTGGAAAATGGACGGATGGAACTGTCCTATGTTTCTTATCTTGAGTGTTTAACATATATGGTCTTTAGAAATGTAGAGATCTAACGGGCGACAGATGTTTCACAATTTTTTTTCTCAGCCGCTGCTGTGCTTGTTTTTTGCATTTTGAATTTTGAACACACAGACCTACAGTAGCTGCATCTCGCAACGAAGGCTTTCTACAATATTGGCGTTAAAGCTTAAATGATTCTCATTAAAGCTTTTTCTTGTCCCAGGATTAAAGGGACACAAATGTTTTGTCTTTGTTATCCGAGCCAGCGAAAAAGAAAGTACAGTTTCAAACAGATGTGTTTTCAGATAAGATGTGAAGCCAGCCTTGGTGCTAATTGTCTGAAACAGACAGCTGGCAGCTCCTTAGGCAAAAGAGCTAAATAGCGAAATGTCCTTTCAGCTTTCAGGCTTTATTTAAAAGTAGTGTGAAAAAATATATGTTTGGGTAATTGCAGTAGATGTTGAATACTTTGCATTTTTGCATTAAGTGTACTCTTTACGGTTCGATATGCTGTACCTATAGATACAGTATATAGAAACGTTTCGATACAGTACATATAAAGAAGGGGCACTGGTCATTTTTGGTTGCTCTCATCTTATGGTCCATTTCCAGTCTGTTATAACTGGTGACGGCAGATTCAGCCAAATGAGAACAATATCTACACAATTATTGTTGTAATTAATTCATGTTTCTTTTCTGTAAGTTACAGAATAATTACTTAATTATTGTGATCTGTCAGGCCAGCCCTGCCTGATTGATTATTTTTTGTTCAGCTCCTGTAAAAATTTAGTGGGCTGTTGTTAACTTAATCCTGCACCAAATAATTCATCAAGTCTTAATTAGAATGGTGGGGTGTGCAATGTAATTCTGTAGCTACAATGAGCGCACTGTCATGAGTCCTTATGATGAATAATTGGTGTGCTGTACTTGGGGTTACGGGAGGTTAGAATGAATTGAATTAGAGTTGGAGCCCTGGCAGGAGCTGCTCTTGCAGCTGCTTTCCATCACTGTTTGCTCATTTATAAGTTTTGGATTTAGACAACAGATAAAAACAAGATGAAGGCCCATTGTTGATTATATGATGCCTTCCATCGGATTCTGACTGGCTTCCAAACGTTTTCAGGTAATCCAAATGGTCACAGCATGGTATTTCTCAGATATCTAATTTCTGAATCTTGATTAAATATTTTGGTGTATACTGTGCAATGGAAGGGTAAGACCTGGCCAACAATTCTAAGCACTTGCCTCTACATACAGTAGTTTCAGACAGAATGTGTAGATACTGTATTGAGCAAAACATGATTCTAAAATCTTCTACCCTTCTATAAGTGATTTTTAATTACAAGTTGTATATCCATATAATAGCAAAGCAAGTGAGAATGAAAGGCTGAATATCCCAGTGGAGATACCGTAGCCTAAATTTGCTTTTTTTTCCCACTTTACCAGTGCAGAATCAGCAAGCTCTGCTGTAAGGTAGTAGAGAAGAAACTTTGTGAAATGCAGAAGCCGTTAATTGCTTTATGTAAATTCTCCAACCCTTTATGTTCTGAAATTCACAGATGTTTCGTTCCTCAGGAAAAATACTGTTTGAGTTTAGAGGTGAAATAGGTGAGCAAGGACAGGGTAATTATAATCAATTTTAATTAGCATATCATTGTAGATTTACTGAATCCAAATTGGGAGCTGAATTTTGACAGAAAGGATAATTCACCTTATACACCCTTTATGGAGCTCTCACGTGTCATTGTGTGGGCTTGTGGTTAGGAGCCTCAGTACTACTGTAGTATTACTCAGTACTACTGTAATTAAACCCCACAATCCTCAGATCCAGAAAACAAATGGTCCATGCAAAGCTGGATTCTGTAGTTAATATAGATCATTTCAAAGGGGAGCATGATGTACTTTTTTATTTATCTATCTAGCCATACATTTTCTGACCACTTCTTCCAGTGCGGGATCGTGGGGGAGCCATAGTCAATCCCAGTAAGCGACAGGCACATTCTGGATGGGATGCCAGTCCATTGGAGGACTGGTCACACGAACACAAACACAGACACGCACACAGTCACTCGCCTAGGGCCACTTTTCCCAGAAGCCACTTTAAATACATCTCTCTGGGAAAATAATTAGGTTTAATTGAAAATTCGGGTGGGAGAAGAGCTGGAAGACACTAGGCCCTCAAGGTGTTGCATTTGAATGTCTTGGTTTAAAGTTTTACCTCCCACAATGCCCCAGCAACCATTCCCCAGCAGCAGTTTTGGTGATCTTGCAGCTCCAGGGCAGGAGAGCAATGTTTGGAGGCTCAGACCCAGGTGGACAGGTTCTTTCAATCCATCAATTAACGGTTATCTTTTGAATCCAGTTCTTTCTCTCTGCCTCTCTTTTCGGCAATACGACAAGTTTTTTTCCACCCTACTTATTTTTTGGCTTTGTTACATTACTGTCTTTGGAGTTCTGCATGTCATCATTATGCTGTTACAAGCAACACATACAGAATACTGTACCCTAATAATACTGTACCCTCTGGAACGGGTAATAAGTAAATAAAAGACAAGTAACGTTTTTTTTTAAATCAAATTACTTAAGGAATCATGCAGGGAAAGAAATGTTATGGTTCTAAACAAACCTTACGAAATAAAACCATGTAGGCCACTGTGTCAACTACTGTACATCTGTAAATATTTAAGCAGTTTAATTGCAGTACAATTGCTTTAATTGAATTTAATTGAAAAATGTGTGTAGTATTTGCTGATGATTTGCTTTATTGTTGTGCAGTTTTTCTTAACTGTGCTTTGAGGTGGTCTTATAAAGCCTGTGAAAGCCTTAGAAGTAATTAGAATTAATAATACTAGTGGTTTAATTTTAAGTTGTTAAGGATCTATGGAATCTCCATAAGGGAGTCAGGAAACAATGGATGAAGAAACATTTCTTGTGTCATGTGTACAGTATATGTGCTGTTCCTTCCTTGCCTCAGTAACCTCAGCTGTTGAGTTTCCTCTGCTGAAATGAGGCTAATATGTCCTGATCTTTATGGGGGTTAGCCTATGTCATATTTGGTTTTGAACGATCATTTCTGAACGGAGGCTGCCGTGCCGTAACGTGAGCTTGGAACTGAGAAAGATGAGACTCCTAGGGAACTAAGGATTGAAAGGCTGTTGTGCCTTTAACACCTGTGCCAAGTATTTCCCCTCTTTGGATAATTAATTAAGGTCCGTCACCAGCACCACAAGCCTTTAAGGCTGGTATCCTATCGATAATGCATGGGTCCATCAGACCCTGCAGGGCCTCTCAGTCCTGACAAATGAATGTCTCTTTAGCTATGTTGCGTGGCGGGCTTGTCGGCGTCTCCCACCCAGCCCTGACATGTGCATGTTTCTGAAGAGTATCTGTGGGAACACAGGCGGATGGAATCTCTCCGAGAGCCGCAACCATCAGCTTATTATTGGCCAGGATCGATAAACCACATTCCAGCACGTTCGTTAGCTGTTGCATAATTCAGAAGGACCCCAGCTTCTAAACTGCTCCTGTCAACACATTCCAGTGTGCTGTAGTTTGGAAAAGCAGCAGAATCTGTGACTTTTTTTGTCAATATAATACAGCTTAGGACAACTGGATTAAAATGGTTGAAATGAATAATTATTCAGAGTCATATTTAGCAAACTGTAAACACAGCTTCAGTATGCTCTGTACATGGAATCTGATGCATGCATTTTTTTAATTGTCATTGTCTAGATTTGAACATTGCTAATGCAGTATGTAGTGAAGTCCAATAGCACAGTATACAAACAGGAGTAAAACCTATATACAAAAGTAAATGACAAAAACTGCAAAAGAATTGTATAAAGTAACTTCCTGACTATCCCTTTCCTAGCACACTCTTTTGCTTGGTCATACTTGGAGCTTTCATGGGCTGGACAGTGATTCTTTGCAGCATTATCAAATTTGTGAAGTGACACATGAAAGGGAAGACACACATCAACAGCAAATCAGATTACGGTGGCATTGTTATAGGGCAGTGTGAGAGTGAAATGTGGCTTTGAGAGAGAGCCGTCTTTTAAGGAGAAAAGCTGGGTAAAATGGGACACACTTGGGATGACTGAAGAATTGGCCAAGGGGAGTGGCCTATTCCATACAGAACCTTTCCTATATGCAGCTCTGCCTCGTGTGTAATCCCTCTCCCTGTGTAGGACAGTTATTCAGTTATCCCAGGTGTGTCTCATTTAACCCAGGCTTTCTTCTCAATGGGTGGCATGCAGCATATTTCAACATCCAAACAAGCAAATCAAAGAACTGCACAACTCCCCTTCCGTGGTTTGGACGTAGTCAGAGATGCACTGCGGTGAGGACAACATGAGAGCAGTGCTGACTATTCACTTTAAGAGCAGAGCACTGGACAGGTCTGCAGCCTTATTGAAACGAAGAGTGAGAGATCGTGAGGACATTCGGCAACTGGGTGGTTGTTTTTTCCTAAAATGTTTAACTCAAAATGAGGGGATAAAAATAACTATATTTATATGCCACACAACAAATCATACAGTATATACATAAAACTAGGTATCTAGGTAAGAGTTTATTGTGGTGTTGCATGGTAAAAGTAAATCACAGAATGGAACTTTATGATAAAGCGTGTTTGAAACTGTGAAAAATTATGGCGTTGGTGTACTGAACTTTCAGAATCCCTTCAGTAAACATTCAAAAGGGCAATGAAAATACAGATCAGTATATTGACTCAGAGAATATATTTATTTTTAAAGGCCATGATCAATGAACAGCGGTAGTCAGTCATGCTTCCACAAGAAGTTAAATTACATTGAATTTTCAAAAAAATACTGGATACATGGGAGCATGGAGGTGCCAGCGTTTGTCTCTGTTTGAGGTGGTTTCTCTGTCTTCAGGTAAGCGATGGGAGTCTGACAGTCCTGTCCATCAGCCGGGAGGACCGTGGAGCCTATACATGTCGGGCTTACAGTATTCAAGGAGAGGCCATCCACACGACACGCCTGCTTGTCCAAGGTAACTTTGCGCCCAGCTGACATTTTCTGTCTTTACCCAGACTGCTCCATTTCTGATGAGCATGGGATCATGAGACCCATACTACTGTATGTAACTACCACTCCATCCCTCATTGACTGGTAGTTACAGTACATGACTTATAGTTGCGGCCAGCTGGCATTCCTCTGGGCGCTGTCTTATGGTACTGATTCAAGCCTGCGTGACTAATTGAGACCTCTCACTCCAGGCAGCAGTCTGTCAAGGTCAGGTTGTGTTTACTGCGTTCTGCGGGTGGACAGTCTTTTTTTTGGGGTGGGTTGCTTGTGCTGTTCTTGGCTTAAATTTGTTACCACAACACAATTAAGAATCACAGAATTCAAGGGATTTGAACAGTTGGTATTATTGACTTTGGGGTTCTGAAATACCTTAAATTGATTCAACTGAGATATAGACCTCTTGAGCCCAAGGTCGCACTTCTTCACAAGGCTGCTCTGAGAACTGTCAGGACTTTAATGGTATCTACAGCTCCTGGAAAATGCTAGAGCAATTATTTTTCTAAATTAACATGTTTTATGACACACAGTATACAATTTCTGTTACAAATTTGTTTTAAAAGATTATTTGTTTCTAGGATTCTAGTGATATGGATGTGTCACATCACATTGAACATAGCTTTTTTCTGTGAACGATTATACTGGCTATTTTATTAACCTTACTTAACAACATAGCTGCAGGAAATAATCCAGTAACAAAATGTATCGTAGTTTTTCCATTCACCAGATGCTCTGATTGTTCACTCTCTCTTCTGTTTGACCTTATCTTAGTGATGTGGATGTGATATGCAGAAACAGCAAATGTGTTATTTTAAGTTGGTGTGGATCTTCTCACAGCTGTTTGCAGTCTTTCTGTGCCAGTCAGTACCTCCAGCTATGCATATACACAGCTCTGCCACCCTCTCCCTCTCAAATGTGAATGTTCAGTCTGTACATAATATATATGTGCAGGATTCCAGTGGCGGGATTTTCAAATCAAATACGTTTTTACAGATCATTCCTTCCACATATAAAATTACTTGTATACAGTCCTCTCAGTCCCTCAGTCCATGTACTCCAATAACTTGTGGCTTTCACCTTCGAGGTACAATTCGCTGGAGTGAAACTACTGTAGGTATTGTGGGTTGACTGGAGACAGCTCTTGATTCGGTTTTACAATTGTGGAGAGATTAGCTGCAGCAGTACCAGTTGACACTATCTCTCTCAATGCCTGGCAGCTCTTACTTTCAACCCTCTGTGCATGAATGACTCTGGGGATGTGAGTAACTCTCTCTTTCACACACATACAGTACATGCATTCCCTTTGACTGTTGCTTTGCACTAGATTGAACATTGAACCGACGTTTCATGCATAATTGGTCAAAAGAAGGATAGGAATCACCAGCTTGATTCAAAATCCATGATGGCTGGCTGTCACGTCTATGAGTGAGATCTATAGTAGTGGCTCTCATGAAAGGGAAGACTGGCAGAAACTGCTCATAATGTGATTTAAATTGTGGTAGGACGTGATGAAGGCATAATGGCCCATGAACCAAAGCGCTTGGTGTTGCTGTGTGTACTGCACCTTATTGTACCATCATGAATGCCATGACATTGCTTTAGCCACTGCTTTGTTTGCACCAAGCAAACTAGGGCTATTCACAAGCGAGTGATTCAAAACACATCAGCAGTGGAAGCAGGTCACAGGTCAGGAATTGGGAGTTCATAAAGCATTCACGGGGCAGTAAAATGGGTGACCCCCTTGAAACCTATGACGACTATAGAACAAATTCAAGTGCCAATTTTCCTTGCATTAATTTTTGCACATCTCACATGTTTATGATTGAGCCCCTCATCTGCATTGCATATATTTTAGGGTGCATGAATGTTGCACAGTGGCATCTTAAGTGGAAGATATGGGCTTGCATTTGGTATCCTCTGCTCCTCCAGAAGACTTGATTATGTGTGTAATAAGTCAGGACCCTTTTCTCTTTGATCATTCTCTGTGATCTCACGAGCTGTTTGCTTCAGGAGGGTCCTCAGGGCTTCCTTGGGGACCCCAATCTAAAACAAAACCAAGCTGTAATGCTCTGCACTTGCATAAGCACAGCTGAAGACAGATCCAATGGCAGGTAAGTTGCAAATTGCAGTGCAGAGCAATGAAGCCGGCTTGCACAATCTGCGGGAGTCAAAGGAAGTGGGCAGAGTTCTGGTCCGCGAAAACTAACAAAGGCGCCAAAGGAGATCCAAGGAGAAAAACTAAGGGTACCGGCAAAAGTAAAAAAAAAAAAAAGAACAATTTGAGTGAAAAGCGAAAGGGGGAAATCTAAAAAGAGAAGAGAAAACACACAAAAATCCAAAACCAAGAAGTGCATAAGAAAAACACAGAAGCGAGGTAGGACGCACTTAGACTGATCACCATGATATCACAAATGCATTGAAGTGGGATTGATTCCTGCCCATATGTTGTTGTCACGGTAACAGCCTGATTGTCAGGTCCGACAGAGGCTGTGGTGTTCTGAGGTTGTTTGTCTAGATTTCGGCGCAAGCCTGCATTATACAGTACGAGCATCAGCTAGACGAACACCGAGTGCGCCATTCCCCTAGCTGGAGTTTTTAGCAGCTGCTCTTCCCAAACAGAAGGGGATGAGCACAGCACCTGTTCACAAGCAGAAAAACCTCCGGAGAGGAGAAGAAAGTCTTACATTTGCAATGAAAATTCCACAACAATGAAGGTGTCAGTCTGCAAGAGAAAAGGGAAATTTTCCAGCTTTTTAGCCAGTGGGCATGATAGAACACCTTGTTAAACAAACGATTGATTTATGTATTGCCTAGAGGAAGACTTTAACCGGGCCAGCCAATAGAAAGAGTGAATAGGCATCAGTGGGATCAGGGTGCATCAATCACTTTTAATCACAGGGACCTTGTCAGTGTCACCCCCTCCACACCACACACACACATATACATTGAGACTCTTGAAAATGACAAATTACCATACACACATAGACATAACATTCTGCCCTGCCTTGTTCTCCATCAGCAGTTAGACGTATAGTCTTCTTGGGTCATAAGCTGGGAAAACAAGGCATAAGTCTGCAATATACATGACTCATTGTCTGTTTAAACATTGGATGCTCACAGGTACCTTCTGTCCTTTCCTCTTTGAGAATTATGAATAAATCAGTTCAGTGAGCAAGCCAGATACCTTCATAAAAGGAAGATATTTATATAGTGCAGAACAGTACGAGTGAATAGAAACAGTCCTGTAAAGAATGAAGACAGGTATTCAGCTTAATGCATCAGGCATGTTCCAAAACAGCCCTAAACATTCTGTCCAAAAAAAAAGATTTCACTAAAGCTTTCTTTCTGTAGCCTATATAGATGGTTCTCCTTAAGTACTATAAATTCAAAACAAATACTGTCACAGTATAGCCACATAAGGAGAGTTGGGTTAGAACTCTACTTTTGACCTCTTTAGAAGTAATTGCTTGTATATACCTGTATGTGCATTAGAAATGTCTCAGACATCTTCAGTGATATTTGGTCCCAGTACAGAGGATTTTTGGGGGTTTCTACTAGCACAAAGACTTCAGGAGTAGTACTAGAAAGGTAGTCTGGGTGCTTCTATATTTTGGGGCTGGTACATTTATTTTTCGTAATTTTCATTCATCCACAGTGACTTTCAGTTGCATCTTCTTAAGATGCAAAGTGTGCATATAACTAGCGGTGGGGGGAAACAAAACAATAAAACCCCTAAAGCAGTAAACTCATTGTAAAATTGTACTATAACACCGTGTGAAATCCTGTGGATGACACTATCTAGCTGACTAACACATGAGGTCAATACCATTCAAACTATTCTATCAGGTTCTAATGGATAAACAACATTTGCAATTTTTGTTTTGTGAACAAAATCGTGTTTTCACGAAAGGAAAGCTACTTGATCAAATACAAGATGCTTTCACCACCATTGCTAGCTATCATTGGTTGTGAATAGACCAGTCTGGAGTGCTAGGTTTAATGGTTTAAGTTGTTAGCTTCTTTAGTCCATTAGAATTCCATGGTACTCTGAAAAACTAACAAACCAGGGGAGTCCTGACTAATCATTAATAGATAAAAATGCACTACTTTCCTCAGAAAATCTGGTTCAAAAATACATGCCAAAGAACCATAGGAACTTCTGTAAATACTGATATGTATTTAAATACTACAGTATAACATCTGTTCTTTCTCTTCACTGAAACAGTGGATTTGTTTAGTTAATTTTGCAATGAAGGGTTGTACTAATTAACCATTTCAGGTTTTGTCCCCAGGATAAGCAATATTATAAACTCTCTTAGCAAGTTAAACAAGAGAGCATTGATGCAGTTTGTCCAGGATGTCAAAGTAAATAAGTTTCAGCTCATTCTTCTGGTTATGCCTAGCTAAACAATTAGCACTACTTCTTATGTCTCAGTGATTCATGGAGTAGATTGTGTTCAATCAGTGAACCAAATTTTAGAGTTATAAATGCTCTATAGTTTATAGTCTCTTATAGTTATTGTTAGGAGTGTTTCTTTTTAAAGGTATTTCGATGTGTTCCTGCAATTCTGAGTTAGACATACAATTTCTGGCAATAATATTAAAAAAAGGTGATAGAGTAGTTTCAGTTCACTGCAGGGAATTTACCATTTAAATGGTAATTCTAAGAAACTTCTATTCCCCGCTGGAGATGTATGTGATTTGCACCTTCGTGGTTTCTGATTAAAGGAGGTCATTTGTTGAAAGTTAACTATTGTAATTTTAAATGATTTGTATGAACATTCATTTTTGTGAATAAGTATCAGTTTTTTTTCATTTTAACTATGGGTGGGTATTAAATAATTGTAAATATATATATATATTCTTTTTGGTCACTGATCTGATGTATTGCTGTGTCCAAATTGATAAAATATTGCAGAAATAGTTTCCGCCAAGCATGTTACTCAAGAAGCTCTCTCTTTGCTTTTTTTCCCCAGGACCTCCATTTATCGTGTCACCACCTGAGAACATTACTGTAAACATATCCCAGGATGCCCTGTTCACCTGTCAAGCAGAAGCATACCCTGGCAACCTGACATACATCTGGTTTCAGGAGGAAGAAAATGTCTTCTTCAAGAAGTAAAGTTATGATCGGGTTCACATTTGTGTTATTATGCTTTGCCTAGCTGTTGAAGAATGACCTTTTTAGAGGAATGAAGGGGATAAATCAAACGTTGATTTTATGTCTTCAGAGAATGACACATAACTTGCAGTAATTGATAGATGAAGCAGCAGTCAACAGGGTAGGAATGCACACACTAAAACAAATTAGGAACAGCAGGCACTGTCAAACCGCAGTGCTCCCATTGCATTCCTATTGTAATGTGTTGGGGGGATATAATTAAAAAATAAGACAAATCAAGTTGAAAATGAAATATGGGGTCCTTAACCCAGCTTGCAAATCAGGCAAATAAGGATTAATAATAATTAAGCCCCTTACAGTCAGTGAAGACTAAGAATTACACAACACTCAGGCACAGCTTATACAGATAATACAGTAAAATCAGGCAGCAAACGTATGCAGGACCTCTATTTTCATGGGGGGTAAGTATAATTTTATAGTTCTGTTCTATTATAATAGTATAGTCCCTCAATTATAATATGCTGTTATAATTATGGTTAAGGCTGGTTGACTAAAGATTTCTCTTTTTTCAAATTTGGGATTAACAATACTTATTACCCACTCAAATTGGATTTGCCATAAAAATTTTGTTTTTAAAAATTCAGCTTTTTCAGCAGGGACACCCACAATCACACAGCTGGCAGAACCACCTACTGAACTATTCGTTATTTGACACTTTGTATGCAGCATTGATTGGAAGGCAGGCATAACTCTCTCTGTAATCACCCTAAGCTGACAAATGGTCATGGGCACATTTTGGGCTGGAACCTTTCCTGACCTTACACTTCTTTTCCAGATGTTATAGTATAGAATTGTTACAGAAATTACTGACAGCTGTATTGGAGCTTAGAACACGTTTATACCTAGCAACATTGTAATATATGACAATGTTGTGCAGCAGGATGGACTAAAATTGCTTTAAATTGTAAAATTTAATGAGAAAGCCTATGCCCAGTAGTTTTAATCAAGATTAAAATCTAAGTATGCGATATATCACCTTTCATTTCGAATAAAATAGATTTCCCCTGTTGCCTTTTTAAATGGATAATCTACATCATAACAATTAAAATGCTGAAATAAACCAAGCAAATAATGTCACTTATAAGGCATAATTGTAATCTCTGAACACCAAATAAAATGATAGTGGATAATCATAATAGACATTGATTTAGCTCTAAAGACACATGCAATGGATTGTCACATGCACTCCCTGACAGAACTCCCCAAAAATTCAGATTTGTTTCCCCAAATAATTGCATCTTCTGGAATCCTAAATATAGTAGTTTAAAGTTTAAAGCTTTTAAATTTTTATATACTGTATTTTTCAATAAAATATTGCAACATTGAAAGTTGCACATGGAAATATTTAGTGCATGGTCTGCTAAAACATTTTTTTTTTGTGAATGTGTCTGAGATGCTGTCATGTTACAGGATTGATCACAAAGATTATGCTTTACTGTATTTGATAAAACCATACAAGTAATGTTTTTGTACAGGTTTTTCCCAAACTATCAAGTATACCGCTCTGGCAGAAAATGTAATATTTTTAGGAACTGGTCTCCAACAGACTGTAAACAGATTCAAATCTTCTTTTGCAATATGACTAAATCCCATGGTGAGACGGCTAGTATGTGCAGGCGCTTTTGTGATCCTGGCTAAGCAATTGCATGCTTGTATCTAGTGTGTACAAAGCAGGTTGTTTCTTCCTGACATGAATATCTTGTGACACTGTGCTTGTGTCATCACACGCTTCACTGGCATGGATTATCAAAAATATAGCCAAGAGCTGCATCAGGTTTCTCCATGCGTACTGCACTGACTCCTTAGAAAGGGATCTTTTTTGCTCCTTGAGAACTAAAGCATTTTAAACAGAGGCTGCCAGCAGGTGTAGAAATGCAGTATGGGAGTGTGGAAGGCTGGTGACCACTTCTCGGGAGAGCTCAGATACAGTATAAGAGCATGAAAGTGAACCTGTAGCGTTCCTTAGAATTATTTTATTTGATAGTACTGTAACATGTTGTTGTTACGAGTCCAGTGTTAAGAATTAATTAGTTTAAAGCACTATATAGTGCAAGGATAATTTATCTATCTGTTAATTAATGAATGTATCCTTGCGCTTTTGTGGACACACGACTCAAAGCTCTTTACAGGTAAGGGGGACTCCCCTCCACCACCATCTGGATGATGCGCTGGCAGCCAAAGTGCGCCAGTACGTTCCTCACACACCAGCTCTCAGTGGGGAGGAGAGCAGAGGGATGAAGCCAGTTCATAGATGTGGATTATTAGGAGGCCATGACTGGTAAAGCCCAGGAGGAAATTTGGCTAACACACCGGGGTAACACCTGTACTCTTTTTGAGAAGTGACCTGGGATTTTTAATGACCATAGAGAGCTCGGTTTTACATCTCATCGAAAGGATGGCACTGTTTAAAAGTATAGTGTTCCCATCACTATACTGGGGCATTAGGACCCACACAGACGGATCTCCCATACAGGTACAGCCAGGCTCACACTCGCTTATCTTCAGTGGGTTACTAGTCGAGAGTTGCAGGGTGATATAGCTGCTGGCTATAAAAACAGTACGAGTGGAAAAAACGGAGATGTACCTTGAAGGAGGCAGAATATGGTTAAATTGTAGGGATTCACTGATTTTCACTGATAATGCAAAGATTAAGGACTAATGTGGAATCTATTGTACCAGAATTCTTAGACTCTAAGGCAATTGATCTATGATCTGCAAATTCACCTTTCATTTTGTAGGCTTTTTTTAATGCTGATGTGATTGCTTTATATACATAAATCATATAAATCAGAGCTTTCAGTTATATTTTCAGAAAACAGAAAACCATGCAGAACTGGATTGTTATAGGCACTTTTTTGTGCTGTTTATGGATACAGGAAATCTACAGCACTCTTATTTGAAAATATATTTATATATAATAGATTTTGACAGTCCAAAAAGATGTAAAACTATTCAAAAACTGATTTTTATTATTTTACTTTGAAGTCATCTGAAAGTAAGCACCTCTAGCAACACCAATCATTTCTCACTCAGACACACCCCCTATTTCCCTCATTCTGTTTTCACATCAGTTTGTAAGCAACACAGTGCTCTCTAGTGCCACCTCTTAAAAACTACATTTAATGCTTCCGTTGTTGAAGCTTATTTTAAAGAGAATACTACTTTTTTGCTACTCTAAATAGGTTGTAAATATTTTCAAGGGCAAAAATAATGAATGCTGTTTTATTTCATTGCTTCTCGGCCTGGTTGTGATGGATGACAAATGGTCACCAGTGTAAAATCATTTCCATTTTTTGGTTTAATCTTCGCCAAACAAGTCCATGACCCCTGGAGTCAGCCAACCAGCAGTAAGACTCTCCCGAGTCTGTCTCTCCTTGTTCGATTATCTGCTAGATCTCATTAAGCCAGTCATGCAGATGGGGCTCTTGTGTTACAATTTCAAAAATGCTCTCATGGAGGAAGATTTAAAAAATAGCAGGCAATAACCAATGTGATGGGCATTCAAAAAACACAAACCAGCATTGTAAATTTGCTGCTCTATAAAATAGTGTTGTTTCAGGCTGTAGAGATACCAGTTCCAAAATCTTATTTTGTGCTTTGTGTTGCTTTGCTTTTTTGATAAAATCAATTTCCAAATTGAACTGCTATCTTTGGTTTAAGGAAGTGTATGAAAGTAATTGTTTTGATGGACACTCATGCAAAGATTCTTTAAAACCACCCAATACACAGTGTACCAGCAGAGTGGATCTAAATGTGGTCATTTTTGTAAGCCTGGTTTTATTAATTTTTTATTTTTTTGTCTCCCTAGTGACTTGAAGCTTAGAGTGCGGATTTTGATTGATGGAACCCTCATCATCTTTCGAGTGAAGCCCGAGGATTCTGGGAAGTATACCTGCATTCCCAGCAACAGCTTGGGCCGCTCACCCTCTGCTTCAGCCTACCTGACGGTACAGTGTGAGTATTGAACCGACTGCTGAAGTCAAAGTGAAACAAGAAAACAGAGTGAATACAAAAGCCCTCCCCATCAAAATGAGCATCCCTGGTAAAACTGGGAAATTGCATGCAACTGGGCCGCAGTTTTGATGTGACTTTTGCGCAGATTGCAAAAGTTTCAACTAAACTAATGAGCATAGAAACATAAAGAAAGTAATCTAGCTTCTTAATTTGCTAGAAGAGTAGCTTACCAATCTGAGCATCCCATTTCATTGGCCTAGCAGCTATGAAACATGGTTTTTCCAAAGAATAGGTTATTCCAAACTCCCACATTTGTGAAACATGTGTGTTTACACGTTTATGTAAAAAAAAAACAGGTAAACTTTCTCAGGTTTTAAGGCACCTTTGAGTAGTTTCTGCTTGATTGGATCGCGTTTTGCTGTTGAGTCTGAAGAAGTCCATTTGGTTGACTGTGTCAAAGCCTTTGTAGACCTCTCTGTTCAAGATTCCCAGCATTCACTTCTTTTTGCCCATCAAAGTAGTCCATTCATTGCTTCCTCCGTTCCAGTTTTGGTGTGCTAAGTAATTGACACATTTTAAAATGGCACAGAAAAGGTCTTGACCACTTCAACGAGAAGAGCTTTCATATTTGGCACGTACATCAATCACAGTAATTGTACACCCCAATTACAGTTCTCAGATTTTCTTATTGGTTTTTTAGAACAACATTTGTGTATTGTCTGTGTTTAAGCAAATTTCAAGAATTGTTTTAATGATGTGCAGTGAGAAAAAAAAATTTCTAATATAAGAAATAAAATACTAGAAAGAATGTTGTCCTTTTTCCAGACAATGCAAGATGCAAAACATTCCTTGTCTGCTTCATGAATTAGCAGCTCAGTATCTGGTCTTCCATTGACTGCAATGAAAGACATTCCACAGTAATCCATTGTAAATTGCGAGCCGAAAAATAATTAATAGCTCAGTCATTTTAACCATTCCTGATCAATCTGTGGAATTCCACAGTTCATCCTTGGAGAAAGATGATAGAAAATAATAATAGTAATTAAGAGTTCCTTAATCATTTGGTTAAAACAAAAGCCAGTTCTGTTTTTTTTTTTCCCATTTTGCTGTATATTTTGTTTTTCTCCAAAAAGGTAGAAAAACCTCCACAACACACATGTACATTATACTGTATATTACTTCAGAAACCTTCATTTCAATTTTTAAAGCTCACCCCTTTTTATTTGCTAAAGAGATTATATAAACAGGAATAAAATGACATTGTTTGTGTTTGAATTACTTTGTATGAAGGAGTTTGACCTTTTAGTATTGTTCTAGGACATTTCTGTCTCTCTTCTGGAAGGAACTGTCAAATCCAAAATTTCTGGCTAGTTGCTCTGTAATAGAGGAGAGGTTACTTAAGTCTCTGAGCCAATTTAACCCTTGAATTGTGTGTGAAAATGCCCATTAGTGCCATTTGTGATTGTGGTCAAGTGATCAAGATGTGATTTCACACATTTGCAATCTGATGGTTCACACTCCCATGAGCCACTGAGTGGAAATGAAACGATGACCTTGAGCCTTTTAGTAATCTGGTCAGTACTTTTCCCTCAGGTTTTACTTCTGCTGTTTAAAACATCGATGCAATTTCATTTTTCATTGAAATCTGGATGTGATTTGATGTAAAACCAGGACCTTTTTCTTATTTGCTGCTGTTGTTTCATTCCTGGACACTATACCATGGTTTTCACTTTTGAAATCAACGGCTTTCAGTGCTTTTAAGCTGAAACTTCAATGATGTGTCACAGTACTTTATGGATATTATGGACAAGTATGGGTCTTTGATGGTGTGGTTTCTTTTTCTACTCAAATTTAATGCTAAAATTAAAATTGTTAGGTTGATCTCAGACAGAATTGTAAGATAACCATTGTGAGTGGGAATTTTGACAAGTTTGAAATTATTTATTTATGAGAACTGAATATTAAGCCGTTTGGGATTGTTTTTCTCATGGGAGGATGAATGTCTGGTATGCTGCCAGTAGTGAATTTACTATGTTTAAGTTAAGTAGCATGAGAAACGTCAGTAATATTAACAATCTCATCTGGCTTGCTACATCTTATGTAATTGTTTTTTTAATGGAAACCTAGACATCAGCTTCAATAATATGGCTGGGTAACTACTGTATATCCTGACCCCCACAGCTCTTTGCATAAAGAAGACCCTCCTGTTTTCTTGTGTTTGTTATGCACTCTTGTAGTTTCCAACATTAAATGTCATTTGTTATGGTTTTGAGTTGCGAAGGGTGTTCCTAGGTAGCCTCCCACAATGAAGACTGTTTCATTTTGCTTCTTCTTTCACAAATATTTATTGTGAAAGTTAAAGGAGAAAACATTGAATAACTGTGAACATGCAAATCGTCAAGGTTTATTTTGTTCCTATGTTGAATAATTTCATACCTGCGCTGATGAACTCCAGCTAGGTGAGCTCTGACTGTTTCCGATGCCTTCAGTGTTTGGTGCGCAGGCTTTTAAATCCATACTGACATTTCAAAGCAAGCCGAACACTCAGGCAAGATCAGTAGAACGACCTGCAGGGACAGCAGAGGTGCTTGTGTCTTGGCAGACCAAACCCCAGCACACTTGCTCATTAAAATAATCCCCTGCAATATGTTTTCTTAAAAATTCTTGCCAACCAGCAAGCAAAGCAGAAATCAGACCACAAAAAAAAATGTATAATCATCCCTGTTGGCTGGTGGAAAAAAAAATGCACATCAATAAGGCTTATTAGCTGTGGCAGTGACAGTCGTAGAGAAAATGCAATTTCACCCCTCCCACTCAGTGGAAGCTCTGACTTGTACAGGAGCATCAGACAGGAAGAATCTGACTTGGCAGCGATCCAGACCTGATCCCAGAAGACTTCCTCTGCCACTGCTGCAGCTTCCTGCAAACTGCTCATGCCCTGCTGAGTCTGGCACACAGCTCCACTGAGCGATAGGGTATAGCATGGAAATGTACTGATGGGCACACATCCCCTGACCCTGCATCTGGAAATTCTTATCCGGCAACAGCGCCGCAGTTAAACACTGAATGTGAAGGAGAGTAGAAGAACCAGTTCATGGTTAATTCACGGCTTTTCCATATTAGTGTAGCCCAAGACAAAAAAAAGAGAATCTATCCGAGTAAGGATCTGTATGGTTAACATAGAAGGGGTGCTCATCCATAATTATGAATTAGAATGCTTTGGCCACAGAGAACTGGCTTAATTAGTGTAGAGTAGTTCTTTTTTGTATAAAAAAAAAGAAAAAGCCATTATTATATCTTATCTCCCAACCCAAAGCTTTATGAAACACAGAGGATTTCATTTTACTATAGGGAGGAAATGAATACCTTTCAGTATTTTGGAATTCAAATTATGTGGAGTACACATGATTTAAGTGGCTGAAGATATTTTGTTTTAGGACATTTCACAAAAAGGTGCTTATTTAAGCACTTTAGAAATAAACATAAGCACTGTACAGTAAACTTGTTGCTGAAAATGTGTCTCAATGTGTCTCAATAGTGTGTTCATTCCAGTAGTTTCCAAAGTCACCAGTTTGAAGAGCTAATCTCATTCCTTTCTAGCAGGGAACATTTATTCCATGACATGACACCGATTCCACAGATGGGGATAATTTTAGGACTGGGATTACTTTTGAAGAGGCAGGCAACCGGTAATACTTCCAGTATCAGTTTGAATTCATTTGTACTCACGTTCACACTACCTTATAAAAGATTATACTGTATACACAGTACAGAGATAAGCTGGAGCATGTAAGCAGAGGTTAAGGTGACTGAAAAGTATTAAAGAAAAAATAAAACCTTGCCTTTGGTTGTGGAGCCTTCTATAGGTGTGTACAGGTAGCAACAAGAACAGAAACCGTTTGGAGTTTTGAGTGTTGGAGGGACACATCTGAGGAGCTGGGATCGATGTACCAGTCTCGGTAAAAGCAGTTTTCCCGTGGCTCCTTTGGTCTTTGATGTTAGCATTTACAACGGCGGCGCTAGAAGACTGACAGGCTCTTCTAACTCTTAAGACTGGAATCCTACAGGAATCCTCTGCCAAAGAGCCCACCAGCACTACTAAGTAGTTATACTATTTACACAAAAACCAGCCCCGAGGTGAACAGTATAGAAGCAGTCAAGTATCTTTCCAGTATTCCCTAACGAGGCAGTACTGTAGAACAAGTACAGCTGTCTGTTTTTGCCAGCCATTCCTGAATTAGTTTGCTGCCTGCACCATTTCATTCTTAATAATAATGTCTAATACTCGGTTAGCAGCTAATTCTAACTTTTGTTCTGAAAGCACCACCTGACCTCTACTAATTGTTTTATATTGTGGAGATCCCTGAACACCATTAGGCCCTTAGATACTCTTGTACAGTAGTAGAAAGCAACATTTTCTTCAGCTGCTTTTTAAAATTCCAACCCTTCCTCCACTTTGTGCCTCCCCCTCCTCTGCAACTGATCGTTATGCCAGTTTAAACATTTAAATGTTTCCCTTTCTTTTATTACCCACTGCACACTGTGGGAAAAACCAACACATCTGTGGTGCATATATTGCCACATTGTGTGTCTTTTCATCCATGACTTCAAACACTGCTGGTAGCAGTCTACAAGAAATTAGGAGTCTGCTGCTGTTCTCATCAAAAGCATTTTATTCTTTTTCTTCCATCCCATGAACACTGCTCAGTTTTTTTTTTTTAATGATTTGAGTAACTGAGTAACAAGCACCAGCACTATTTGGTAGCATTAGGGTGTATAGTATAATATTTTAAAATACTTCAACATTCACACAAGCCTTCATTGGGGCAAACAATCCCAACATACTCAGGGACACTATCACAGCAAACTGGTCTCCTATGCTCAATAAATATCCAGTCTTCTCCTTCAATAGGAAGACATGTTCTTTGTCTCTTTGGAGACCTACTAGCATACCACGCTTGTTTTATCCCTTTTGGCAGTTTAGTTTCCAACTAGAATTACTACTCCTCTACAACTCAGACTACAGAGGATTCAAGAACACAAAAATACTAAATTCACTTTGGTTGCATCACCAGATGAATGCACTCCAAAGCAAAAAAAAAAAAGATACATGGACTTCCTTCTTTTTGTCTCCCCTCTTTCAGACTTCATCTGGATTAGGACTACAGACTGACTGCATTAAAGCATAGGAGTCCATTTTTAACCCCTGTGCCAGCTAAACTCCCTACAGTTACTCCTTCTCCTCACTCTCTCCCAAAACTATGCCTAGCATCTGCACACCTGGCACTAATATAACCCAATAGCAAATCCTGTGGAATGTGGAGTTACCCCCTGGACCAATCAAATGAGCTCTTTCCCTTCCAGGGGCATTCCAGTCACACAGGACCCTAATCAGGGAACCGAGTCAGGTGTGTCCAGTTTTCACTCCCAGAGGAGACCCTGGCCAAAGGCTTGGCTTGCACCACCATACTAAGAATCTAGAATCTAGATACTTAAATCTAAATGCACATGACCCAGTACATACAGAAAAATCCAATTATCTTAATTATTCAAAATGAATCTAAAATATAATTATCTTGCCAAATAAACACATATTATGTATATTATATGATATATTATAGTATATTAAATTATATACTTTTGTATAAATCTCCGTATCAAATAATGGAATCTAATTTATGAATCAAATCTATAATAACATGGAGAAGGTGTAATAAAATGTTTGAGGGTGTAGAGGGAGTGTACAGTATGTCCAATTTACCTTGCTTTCATTTTATTTTACTGAACAATGCATCAACAGTTTCGCTTATTTGCTTTTGAAAAGATCATATTTCTAAAAAAGCTGTTGATAAAATCCCACTAAAAAGATGGTCTGAAGTCCAATGCTATGTCTTTCCAAAGTTAAGTGGGAGTGTGAGTTGTAGTCAAATTTGAAACCAAACAAAAATTAAGGATTAGGTGAGAAACCGCATAGTTAGATTAAATTATTCTGGGGATGCTTCAAAGATGTATTTAAACTTTATAACTGATTGGATGTGTCATCTCTTATGCACTGGCAGCAAAAAAAAATTGGATGCAGGGTGAAATTACTATGAAGTACATACTTCATATCATGATGTGTATCAAGAGACATTGTGATTGATTAATGTTATAGTCTGGCGGTTTTCAACCAGGGATCTCTTCAGAGGTTTTCTTAGAGACTGTCCCAGGCTTCCTTTGAAATCCTGAGTAAAATGCTCTCTCACGCAGCAGATCTGTTCTGCCACTGCTTATAGATGACATGTTTTTAATGTATTTCAGTTGGTGGTAGCCTTTCTAATAATAACTGTAGGCTTTAGTTGACGTTTTGGTTTCCTTTAGTTGTTTTTCTAGGGAGGGATTTCATTAACAGGTTGAGAATGTGAACCAGATATTAAAAATGCATCGCATGTTAATCGAGTGGACTTCTTCAGGATCAATAGAAAACTGTCTTAAAGTTAATATGTTTAGAAATGATTTGCGTAAAAACAGAAATCGAAATAACCATTGCTCACAGATTGATTTTGAAATGCATGGAATGTATATAGGCGTTTATACTATCAAAGCCTACCTTGGTCAAACTTCACACCAAGCCTCCTGTCTCTTGTTTTATTCAATTATAGAACGGAGGGCTGGATCCACTAGTCTTGACCCATTGTAATCTTTTGCTAACAGAAGATGTGTTTTAATTTCAGATCACCCCGAATCATTTAAAAAAAAAATTAGTCTTTGCCACAAAAGCGTCAGTTAAAATAAGCATTTGCTGCAAAGCCAGAAGCTACTATTGTACAGTACTTGTCCTGTGAATGTGTAAGGTGTAAAGGTGGTCAAACCTGATTTTAATTTTAAGACAAGCTATTAATTGTTCTCCAGACTTACACTGGACACTGCCTGTTATGCTTCACTGGCTGCAGTCTGATTGCATCCAATTTCCTGTTTGCCTGTGTAGTACAGTGGTCAATCTCAACATTACAAGCAAGTTGTATTATGGCATGTAAGTCAAGCATTACAAGCATTACATTATACTCTTAATGGGGCATTATCTGTTGTGAACCCACTGGGACCTTGTTAGGGAATATGGCAGAAAATGACCGCTGAATTGAAATGTTTTGGCCTCAGATTGAGCATCATTATGCAGACGATATCCATCTGTTCCACTACTTCAGTAACTGTTCAGCGGAAAAGACTTTTAATCTTGTTGCGAGAACATATTGCCAGGATGCCATTGGTATCGTACACAAATGTGGTATTTCTTTGATATAGATAACTGGACCAAAAAAGTGGAACAGGCCAATTGGAATATTGAGCAAAATGAGACACAATATGGCAAAAACAGATCAGTTACTGTAATACTCCGTACAGTATTACTCTGTAATTCTGTAATGGTAACTGCTCAGCCCGAGAGTGCAAGGTACTCCAGAGGGTGGTGAAACTGGCACAAAACTCTACTGGCTGCGCGCTACTGAACATCGAGGATATCTACTCTGTTAGATACCTCAAGAAGGCTGGGTCTATCCTCAGGGACCCCAGTCACCCTAACCAAAACTTGCTCTCTCTACTACCATCTGGAAAACGATACCGAAGTATACAGGCCAGACCACCAAGTGTCCAAACAGCTTCTTCCCCCGGGCAGTAAGACGCTCAAACTGCCAACCACAGCAGACGCCTGCAGTTACCTCCTTGAACTGACAGGGGGCACCGGCGCCCTCCTGTCACTTGCACTCTCAGGACACATACGAAGAGCGCTAAATACCTCCTATCCTTGTGTTACTTTCGCACAATCTGTAAATTGTACTTAAATTGCAATTGTGTAATTATTTTGTCTCCTAATTGTTTTTTCTTTTCGTTAATCTAATCCCTATAAATTCCTGTCCTTCTACTCTTCTATCCCTGTTAACAAGCACGCAGACAGCACTGCTGGATGCTGTACTGTTCGTGCTTTGATAAATAAACCTTGCTTGGTTGATTGATTACATCACAGCTGTTTTACATTTGATTCCACAGGTTATATAGTATAATGCAAATTAAGTCATAAATCCCTGTAATGCACAGGACCATAGAAAGTTTGTAAGAGTTTGGTTTCTTAAATTGTTCAGTCATTCTTTTAGATTATTTTAGATAACACCTGAATGCTTGGATCTCTTGTGGGAATAAAGCAGAGCACAGCCAAGGTTAAATAAATTTTTGTGCCTTTTTCAATATCATTTGTATTTTTTTTCTAACGTCTGCTGCACTGACCTCCCTTTGTAGTCCCCGCCCGGGTTGTAAATATGCCGTCTGTCATCTACGTCCCAATTGGATTGCCAGGATTCATTCGCTGCCCAGCTGATGCCAACCCGCCAGTGACATCCGTCAAGTGGAATAAAGATGGCCGCCCACTGCGAATTGAGAAGGTCAGTTAGCGCGTCCGCAGTTACAGACGTCTCACCCACAGTTAAATAAAGAGGATGTTTGAATTGGCATAATACGTCATGTAAAAAAATCTATTTTTCCAAATACCTTTTGAGAGCTTTTTCGTAGTACACTGAAAAGCAAAGCATCTTGTTTCGATCTGTTGGCATCCACTGAAGTTCGGTTGTTTTAATTCAGTGGCTCAGAAATTCAGAACAGATGTAAGAAAAAATGGAAACGTTCCCCTACATCCCCACCATCAAGGGCGTAGTATAATGTCCAAAGTGTCACCTGGGCAGGGCGTACACACAGGAATATGGGTTAGCTTCAGAGGTTCTGCAAGGTTCAGGTAAAGTCTGTAAAGAAACCTTAAGTGAATTAGGTTTTTTACAAGACAAGTACTCTTCCAGGCAATCACCTCATTGGCATCCATTCATGCGCCTATTTCATTTAGTAATGGCTGCTAGGGTAATAATCAACGTTTGGAGAGCAATGGAAATTACTTTGGAGAAAGAACAATAGTCTCGACAGAAAAGCTTTCATCATCAGGAGAGTGGGTACAATACATTATTGATCGTGGGTCATTCATTTGATAAAACGTCATTATTCATCAAGGGATTAAGGGTCGTTTGTTTGTCAAAGCAAGAGGCAGAAGTAACAACGAACTCTCTGCTGTGCTTCTCTGCACCCAGTATCCCGGCTGGAGCCTGATGGAGGATGGGACCATTCGTGTGGAAGAGGTGACAGAGGATTCTCTTGGCACTTACACCTGTGTGCCTTACAACGTCCTGGGTACCATGGGACAGTCCCCCCCAGCCCGTCTGGTGCTAAAGGCAAGGATTGTTCACTTTATTTTTATATTCCTTCCATGGCCCACAGCTGAGACTGTGGCTAGTGATTTTATGTGAAGGACGTAAAACCTGTTTGTTTAGCAAAAGAAAGACACATCCTCAGGGTGTGCTTTGGTGTATTTTTGGATGTTTCTATTTTCTGTGTGTTCGGTAATTTTGTAAAAGGTCAGCTCTTCCTGTTTTCATCTCCGGACAACTGCAAATTGCAAGAAACTTAATTTCAGAGGTGTTTGTTTTTTCTCCTACAGGATGTCTGACTGAAAGCAACAAACTAAAATTAGAGCTTTGCGCTCCCGTGTATACACTAAGTGTAAGGAACATCAAGTAAGGTTATGGGAAATGTATGAAATATGGGCAAGCCTGCAAAAACACTGGTGGTAATCAAATTGCAGTCAAGTGGACTCAATAGCCGGCGTACACCAGGTTCACAAGTGCCCAATTAAATTTAATAAGTTTTCATTCACAAAATGAATCACTCGTTAATTCGTGCTGCATCAATCCTAATATAAACCCACATCAACCTTTATTTCTCCCTTTACATTCAGATATTTTTATCTTTATTTGTTATTTGCTTTCCAATACATAATAAACATGTCTCTGTCTCTAAAAACAGGCACTGAAATGCCAGGGTGCAGAAATGAAAAGCACATATCTTATACAGCCTTATAGCAACTATATACAATACTGTACATTTTATATGCATATTATCATATTATACTGTATATAATTATTAATGTAGAAAGGATTCATTTATCTCAGCCATTTAACATACAGTATTATACAGTATATTTAATGGGTTTGCTTTTATGCATACAGTATTATAGAACGCTGTGGCTGTATTAGCTGAATGTTTGATTAATTACTTTGCTGCAGGAGGCTTTACAAACACCAGTTAGAAGCAAACCCATAGCGCTGGTTTGAATATTATGATATTCATGTCTAAATTTATCATGTAGGCTGTGGAATAAGTGGATTAAGTTTACCCAGATCTTGACTATATAAAACACACTCTTGGCATCATCCACTCATTTGTACCATATTTTAACAAATAATTAAAAAACCTATCATTTGCCTGTACTGTATATGTTAAAAACTATAGAAAATTAAGCAAATACAATACCTTGAAAACGTATTTAGATTCGTGCCAGTTTTCACATTTTGTTGCTTTAAAGTTTGCACACATGACACTTTGAAGCAGCAATTAATAATAGTTATGTACAACATTTACTCCACAGATTCAAAGTAAAAACAGTACATTAAATGAAAAATTGAATAGGAAAAATAGAAAAGTCATGATTTACCTTCAGTAAGTATACAAATCCTTTGCTGTAGCAAACCTGGATTAATTTAGGTACATTGAATAACCTTAATGAGCCACACATTTTGTTGAGTGTCTTCTATCTGTGTGCAATAATGAGACCAGACAAATATAGTGTTACATCTCACACAAACCAAACATTACTCAGTCAAGACAGTCCCTGCTGTCAAACAGGATGGTGGCATTTTGTTGTACTTGTGCTTCTCATCAGTAGCAACTGGGAAGATTGTCAAAACTGACAGGAAAATAGGTGAAATACTGGCAAATCATAGAGGAAAACAGCTCTCAATGAACAAAAACTCACCTTTCAGCAGGAAAATGTCACAAAGCACAAGGCTACATTGGACTGGCTTCAGAATTAGAAACTGAACTAAGAATCTGTTGAAAGACTGTTGAAAAACTGCCATCAGTCAGTGATCCTCAAGCAGCATTCAGAGAGCGACTTTAGAAAAATCTGTATGCAAACTGGGAAGACAATCGGTCAAAAATTGTACCAAACTGGTGTACAGAGATGGGTAAAGTCTTACCCAAAAAGAGCTCATAACTGAGCTTCCACCAAGTATTCACAGGTCTGAAAGCAATTAATATATTTCAGTTTTTTTCTTATTGATGAAACTTGCTGTGGTTAATCTTACCCGTGTTACCCTTAAATGTATTCAGTGTTAAGGATTTCAGGATTTGGAAAGAAATGTTTTATATGTTAAAGGTTAAAAAATGTCTCCACATCACGCATCAGAAAATGGAACATCACAGCAAGTGTCTGAATGTTTTTTCTACAAGGCACTGGATGCATAGCGGGAGTGCACTCATGAAACAAGTCTCAGTTTCTAATTAATTTCTCCGCTGAAATGCAGGATCCCCCTTACTTCACGGTGCTACCCGGCTGGGAATACCGGCAGGAGGCTGGGAGAGAGCTGGTGATCCCTTGTGCTGCTGCCGGAGATCCATTCCCCACGATCACATGGAGGAAGGTACACTGCTCACAACTCCTGCTTTCGTTAGCGGGACAAGTCAGGGGGCACTCCCCCTTCTGTCTGTGTGCGGGTCCTAATGCCCCAGTATAGTGACAGGTACACTGTACTGTAAAAAAATGCACCATCCTTCAAATGAGATGTCAAACCAAGGTCCTGACTCTCTGTGGTCATTAAAAATTCCAGGACGTTTCTCGAAAAGAGTAGGGGTGCTGACCCTGGAATCCTAGCCAGCTTTATCCCTGGCCTTTACCAATCATGGCCTCCTAATAATCGAGATCTATGAACTGGCTTCCTCACTCTGTTCTCCAGCCTCTGATAGCTGGTGTACGGGGGGCATACTGGCACACTCTGGCTGCCTTCCAGGGTACCATCCTGGTGGGACTACACATTGGTGTTGGTAGTGGGATTCCCCATTACCTATAAAGTGCTTTGAGTGGAGTGTCCAGAAAAGAACTATATTAAGCAGAAGAATTATTATATTATTTAGCCTTTCTTCAGGGTGAAAATGATCAGAACGGCAGACATGTCAGAATCTCTCTATGTGAGTCACGGAAGCTGTTGAAATTTAGGGCAAGTGTGTCTTGACTGGATCTTGTTTAATCAGTTTGCAATTCTGAATAAATTAGGAAATCAGTTCTTTTTGTGCTATCTAAACTCCCTACAGTTCATCCTTCTCCTCACTCTCTCCCAGAACGATGCCTAGCTTATGCACACCTGGCACTTATATAACCCAATAGTAAATCCTGTGGAATGTGGAGTTACCCCAAATTCAGCATGAATAATGGAGATATTTTTTTCCTTTTAATAAATATTTACAAAAGAACATCTAGACAGCTTCTGTCAATACTTACAAAATGAAATTTTAAATGTACAGTACTACTAAACGTGATAGTTACTACAGTAGTCTTTCCTTTGAGAAAAGGCAAACGGTAGATGCTATGCATGAAAAGTACACTTGCTCTTATTAAAAAGGTAATTGCTAGAAGACAGGAAGAATGTTTTTAATTTTTTAATTTGTATTTTCCTTCGCAGTCCTGACAATTGATGGTGGCTGATTGAAATTTGCCCTTCGTGAGGGTAAAGGTAGCTTTTATTCAAAGCAAATTTCAATTATGCCTGTCAGCTCTGTGATTGATTGCGATTCCCATCAATTAGTGTAAGACTCATTATTGAACGAACAAAATAATGCTGATCTGCTGACACATCAGTAACATGCCTTAGGCAGATCTCTATAGTTCCTACACACTGACAGTAAGTTTCCTCTCTTGCGCTGGGAATTATCCTTGCGCCCCAAGACTCCAGATTGCAGCACAGCCAAAGCCCAGGGTTATGTGCTGAAAGCTTTCGCCTGGGTTACTGTAATGGCTCTTGCTGAATGGTGTTGTCTCTTGTGAAGGTAGGGAAGCCCAGCAGAAGCAAGCACAATATTCTACCGAGTGGCAGCTTACAGTTCAAATCCCTGAGTAAGGAGGACCATGGGGAGTGGGAGTGTGTCGCTACCAACGTCGTCACAAGCATCACTGCCAGTACTCATCTCCTAGTAATCGGTAGGAACTTCTTCCCTTCTTTGCTTGTCTGACTCTGGTAGAAAGCCAGAGAAAGAACTAAACTCACTGTCTTATAAATCAATGTAAGCAAGTTAAGACATTCCTTTGGTGAAAATGTGCTCACAGTCAAACTATAAAGTACTCTTAGCTGTTATATTTGCATTTGAGATTGTTTAATTGTGTGTGTGCCCCTTTCCCTATATGCTGTATGCGTGAATAACTTCTGTTTTTATCTCCTTGACATCGCACCCCTCCCGCCGATTTGTTCATGAACAGTCTTTGACACAAAAACCATATTAGTACCTGCTCATCTTTCAGAAGAAATTTGTGAGATCCAGGGCTCTGCTTTTTAGAATAAGTAAACAGCTGCAAGAAAAAAATCTGAACAGCAAACTGTGCGTCTCATATTTCATTAAAACCCCATTTGATTGGATTTGTTTCTTTCAAGTGGCTATAACAGTAGAAAACAGTAGATAACAGTAGAAAAAGGATGAGACCATTTACAATACGTGTTAGAAAACTGTTTCAGTGAAGCTTAAGGTGCAGTAGGTGTACTACAATTCAGCAGTTTGATTTTAACGTGATTTTAACACGAAGGACCATCAGTTAGGAATCTTCAATTAGGAATGACCAAGTGCACTTTGAGGACATGTTTACAAAGTAAAATACAACACTATTTAGTAGCACTGGCATTTGAGAATCATGTTTTAATTGACATCCAACATCATAGCATTAATGCAAAATTAATGAAATATTGTTTGTCTTCACATCTACTTACAGTATGTAGGACTTCATTCGTTTAGCTTTATTATTTTAAAAACTAGTATACTATAGGTCTTATTTAGTTTCACCCACAGGATGTTTTCTACAGATGATTACAGGTGCAACTCCCTGTAGATACTGCACACAGTGTTCTTTGGTGTTGTGTACATTGATAATGTCGACATTCCTTTGGCAGTGAAGGGCACTTTCAGTCACTGGCTGTGGTTTAATTGGGTGTCATTGAGCAGTATCTGTCCAGCCATCATCTCGCTGTGATTAGCAGGAGCTCTCTTGAGTGGTGCAGCACCCATCTCATGCTAATTGCCAGGTACTCAACTGTTATCAAAGATATCTGTTAAATTGGATGGTGCTTTGCAATTGTTGCCTACCAACATATCTTCATTGGAGGGTAAAAAAGGAGCAGGTGTAAATGAGTTCTGTGGCAAATGTATCTGACTTGCAGAACCTGCAAAGTCATTAAATCCCTGACTATTTTTTTTAAAAGTGCTATATTGACTCAGGAAGGTTTCTTCATGTGGACAGCTACTTACAGGGAGCAGGTTTATAAAAGACATTAAGAAAACAGCTAGTTCACATTGTAATTACAACATGAGGTTATAGAACAAATAAGGCAATCTGCTTATCCAGCCTTTTGTATGAACTATGCAAATATGGAAGAGAAAATGTCAGTGTTTCAGTGCTGTTGTACAGAAGAACATACTGTAAGAAAGCCAACAGACAAGAGCAGACAGTTTAGCCTGTAGAACTCATTTGGTTGCTAGTAGCTAAATAATTTGATAATTTCATCAAACCTTTTCCTAGAAAAAAAGCCATGGTATTAGATTCAATGACATGAGTGGGTGGCTTATTCTCTTAATTCCAACAACCTTTTGTATAAAATAATAATTATTTTCTCAGTTTTAAATGTGCTTCATTGTTTAGTAATTCCACTCGTCAGTTGGTTTGTGTTTCACTGGTGATCCTAAAGTAAAAACGTCAGTTGGCTGACTTTGTCAATGCCCGTAATGATTGTGACTACTGGAATCAGGTCACCCCATACAGTCGTTTTTCAGGGCTAAAAAGATCTTATCCTGTCAGAGTAGAACATTTCTTTTTACACAGGAATGCTTTTGGTTATGCTTCTATAGACTATATCCAGAGGAACAATTTTTTTAGATAATAAAAATGTCACTACTATGTCATTAAAAATTAAAAAAATGTTTAAATAAGAAACGTTTTTTTTATTTAAACATTTTTGCTCCTGAACAATGACAAACACTCCTGAGAGGTTATTCTAGAAAGTTATATCAGTAGTTCCTTAATTTTCACTTTCAGACACCCCCTAAGGTAATTAAATTATTTCTGTCTAGTTTTTTTGAGTTTTTACTGACTTGAGTGATAACATCACTGAAAAGTGTACTGCCTCTCCCTTCTATGGTGACTCTTTTGTCAAGGACAGCTCTAAAGCTTGCAGTTTGTCAAAAGATACATGAGTTTGAGATGTGGGCATATTAGAGAATAAATATTTCCTGGTCTATTTTTTCCTTGTGTATATACTGTAGAGGATTTATGCTGTAAAAGTTTTTTTTTTCAAAATCAACTTGTATCAATAACTTCATTCTCAAGCCCTGTGACTCTTACAGCTTGTTGAAGGATGACAGGGCATCATTCTAGAAATACCCATCACCCAAGCTGGTAAGAGGGATAGAGATAAGAATTGTGAAAGCTTGTGAAATAAAGGTATTTTGCGTGTTGCTCAAGGCATGGATATCATTGTTAAGAATCACAAGGAATAAGATGAAAACTGCCAGCTTCTACTGGCATGTTTCATTCAGATAGATCAAAAGAACTGAGCCTCTTTTGTCTTGGGCAGAAGAAATGATGGAGGACTTTCAGTTACTTCAGGGCAAGTGCTAAAATTAGGACCAGAGGATGGATTCAGGGAGAAATTTAGAAGAAACATGTTTGGGAAAGAAACAGACTTCCTCGCCATGTTGTCGAAGCAGATTCTCTGGAGTACTTCAAGAAACATCTGCATAAGACCTTTGGATCAGTGAGCTGCTAGCCACCAAATGAGGATAACAGTCTCCTCTCTTCAATGTCTTTAGAATATGTGCATTTAAGTCTGTTAACTTATTTTCAAATATATATGTATATGTGCATTTTGGAGACAACCTTCCATTCCTAAGAATTATAGTCCATTTGTGTTTCCGGCTGTACCTCAAAAATGCTTATAGATCATTAAAAAACTAGAAATGGATTACTCTGCATTTCCTTTCTGTTGCGTCTCTTAAAAGGTTGGAAAAAGTGTTCTAAACAAATTGCAGCTTCCACGTATGTGCTAAAATAATCATTTAATTAATGTAATTAATAAATATTGCAATTCAAGCAGAGAGCTACAGGATGTAGTCATAGTAGGTAAAAAGTTTGGAATGGTGCGAAGGTCGTATTGCTTAATCAAAATACCGGAAATTGGCACACAGAGTTACATTCCCATTGATATCTCCTGTCTGATAATGAATCATGTTCCCTCGCACATTTTGCATTCCCACAAAATGAGGCTTAAAGGCCATATTCTCCCATCAGTTTAACTGATGCATTTATGTTTTATTTTTGATAGATAAACCATACTACACATTATTTGTCTTTGGTTGGACGGGTTTTCTAAACAAAAACAGTTCTGTAAATCTAACGTTCAGGATTCCATTAAACCCCTTGAACTAGTCATTGAATTGAAGTGTGGGAATCGGGCAGTTGTTGAGCGCTCAATATTTAAGATAAATGAGAGCTTACCTTGTAAGACATACACATTTATTGGAGAGTTAAAAGGGTGTCAGACTAGAAATTCAGTAATTTTTCAGCCTGAATTCAAGTGAATATCAAGCTTAGGTCTGACCAAGCCTTTGTTTATCCTAACCTGCCCTAATGAAATAATTTTTCCTAAGCTTGCTTACGGTACTCCTGTTCTAAATATAAGAGACCTTATCAGCTCTTAAATTTATATTTATTTACTGTACCTAGCCATCTAACTTCTTCAAACTCAGCATTTCCCGTTGTATATCTACAGTTTATAGATGCACACGGTAGGCTCACTAAGATGTGTAGATAGATGGAATTTAATGTATTTTCGAGTTATGCATGCAAGTGCTGCATACCTTGCTTTATTGCCGAAGATGCATTCCAGAGAACGCAGCACTGTGGACATCATCCCTAACCAAGGCAATTATAGCACAAGTCCAGTGAGGATGCACTCACAGGAGCTTGATTTCTTACAGATAAAGAATGTATGAGTGCGCCTGTAACAGTACTACTGTTTTTGTAAATGGGAAATATCATTTAAAAAATTCACTATCTACCTTCACTCCTCCAATTTGGCACTGGTGGGACACAGACGGGTGGAGCTACATCTGCCAGTATAGGCCAGGCTGTGGTTCAAATGAATGTTATTGAGTGAAGCAGGCGAGATCACAGCTGGAGCACTGCAGAAAAGCAGAAGAATGATGAGAAAGAGCACTCTCCTCAGAATGTACTATCATGCTGCACTTTTAGTGACTGAGGACTTTTTCATTGCTTTTTGCCTTCAGCACAAACTGAGGCCAGATGCACAGCTATGGTGCTTCACACACAGACATCTTGCTTTTAAACAGGCATATTTGGATTCCTTAAAATACTGGGCAGGATAAGGCTAATTAAAACAGCACGTACACATCTTAATTTTCAGTGGAAATTATGATTTTACCAAGCATTTTATGCATATATATTGGGCATCCAAATGTCCACAGCATTCTATCCTTTTCCTCCTACAGCCTACAATCATGTAATATACAGTAGCGTTCTCAGGTTTTTTTCTTGTTGAACCGATGAATTCTAGGAGTTGCCCCTCTGTTCCCAATGGCACCCTCAACCCGATTTTAACAAGAATTTTGTTAGATAAAGGCAATTGAATGTGAATGTCAAGCCCTATCAATAGAGTGACTTTCTGGAATGAAATAGCCATCCCACTAAAATATCAACATATACTCCTGCATGAACATCAGCATAGGAAACACTGCATTGGTTTTAGAAACTGTCTTTGAAAATACAAGCATACAACCTTACAAGCATTCATCAGTTCAGATTTCTTTCGAACCTTAGAATAAGGTGTAAAACAATGTGAGTGGGAGAAGTGGAATCAGACAAAGCAGGATTGTGCCAGTGCATTACTGTACAGTATATAGCAAGTACTTTGCTGAAATGACATTTATTTCAGATTTTACCTCCAGGAGCAGGCTTGTGACAGCATTAGTGGAGCCAAGCTAGGCTGCAGACCTGTACCCTTTTGAGTTTATTTCGTTCTCAATGTCCGGCTCTTTTTCAGATGTGTTGCTAAGAGAGAGGGTTTTTTTAAAGAGGATATGAAGGGTGGAAGAAATAAGCAGGAGGGCATGAAATTTCATTTCACACCTGGGCAAAGTTTGACCATCGTTAATGCCCGCGTCAAACATGCAGAAAACCTGTTTCATTTACAATGCACAATTGCAGCCGTTTTATATCCTAATAGGCTCTATTTCACAGTTCAGTGCATGGTAGACTGATTTTTTTCTCCTTCAAGAAAAATGACATACAGTAATTCCATTCATCTAGGTCAAAGCATCTAATACGATGTATTTCCCTTAGAAAATATTTCTGTGCACAGTACGTATTCATGGCTGTTATTTTAATGTTACAATTGTACATATGATACAGTATGTTTTAACAATAAAAGTAAATGAGCAAGTGAAAGCACTGTAATTTCTTCACTCAGCAGCAGAAATAAATACCTGCCCTTCTGTTATTGTGAGTGTTAAGGTTGTGTGAGTTGAACAGGTATTTCTGGGATTACAGTAAAAAGAAGATGGTAATATTAAAGGATTAAGAGTCAGGGTAAGTGTACAGTTTGGATTCGTGTTTGAAGAAGTGTAAACACCAAATGATAAAGTTGATATTGTTGTAGGTGGAAACTGTAATATAAATAGAAAATAGACTTGATCTTTTTCTTTTTTTTCAGAAGGCAATAAGGCTTGCAAGAGAAAGTTAAAATGCTAAAAGAATTAGATGGAGAAGAAGTGAAATAAGAGAGGGATGAGTTTTTTAAATTAATTAAATCTAATAGGTTACAGTTCAATCAGATAATGTGTGCACATTGTTTCCAGTTTGGTGAGCTACATCCATTAAAGACACAGTGGGATCCAGTTTATTTTTTGCCATGAGGTCTGGCAAATATTTTGGATAATAATGTGTCAGAGGGTGTACCGGCAGCAAATTGGAAAAAAAAAGCACTTTTCAAATGTAGAAAGAGGTACTCCATTAGCAGGGTTTCAGTTCTGTAGCACATGTCCGTGACAGCAGCACATATCTTCTACAGGTGTGCAAGATTGTTGTCTCCTAAGGCAAGACAAAATAATGCTTACAGAGCTATATGGGAGGGTATACAGTATGTTACATACTGTTGTCGGTCTAAGAGGTAAGTCTAGACTAATGAAACAAATTGATTTATCATAACAAGGTGTATCCTAGAGTTTAGTGTTGTTGGCAGTGTACTGTACGTGAATGTGCTGATGGACATATTGTTTTCCAGGCACAAGCCCTCATGCCCCAGCCCATGTACACGTTTCGGCCTCGACGACTTCGGCTAATGTCTCCTGGGAGCCAGGATATGACGGAGGATTTGAGCAGACATTCTCAGTCTGGTACGGCCCTGTGTGAGTCATCCCAGCATGCTTTGCTTTCTGCTTCTTTCCTAACAACTAACCTGAGTTCTGTCCTGCTTCTGTAAGGCTGCAGCACCATAAGAAGGCAAGATATGGGGGGTGGGGGTGAAGGTCGGGGTTCTGGGCAAGACTATATTGTTCTCCCTAGACTCTCTTGCATTTTTTTTTAAAAGAAAGAAAAAGCAAGAAAGACACCAGTTTGCTCTTCTCAAATATCTCTTCTAATGGGCTCCTTGATTCTCTGGGCAGTGAATAAATGTGTTTATGACATTCATTCACTTCACCTGCTAGGGAGATGTTTAAGAAAGAGAAAGTGGCATTTTTTTATAGAAAATATGGGGAATCTTCTTAAAAATGTCTTAAAACATTATCAGCATCTTTGTTTTTCCAACATAAAAAATAAAGTGTAATATGTACAGTTAGTACATGTAAATTAACTAGAAACACTTTCCAAATATTTTTTAAATAAAATGGTGCTGATATAATTTTATAGACAAGAAAGGTTTTGTTTATTGAGCCTAGAGTCTTGGGAATGCTTTGTAATTGCTCTGCAAACAGTGGTCTAGTATGATAGGCTGTTTTGCAAGGAATCAGTCATTGTTAGATAATAGAAAAAAAAAGTTTTGTTAATGGTATGTTTTAGTGGAGCTATTTGACAGCTTCAAAGTTTGGGTAATTTGTCAGTGATGTCCTCTTTTTAGTTATCCTGCCCGCAGTCTGCAATCAAGTTAATGGGAAGTATGCTGCAGTTTGGATATTTAGGGAGTTTAGAGTCATACCAGGATTCATCAACCTTTTATTTAAAGAGAAGCACGACTCTGCAATAAAAACAGCAGGAGTGTTGTTTATCATTAGTATTATAAAGAGAAAACCTTTCCACATCCCCAACCAAATCCTGATTTTTTCTGCCAATTCTAGCCCTTTGGTTTATATTAAATATATTTTATTTATAATAAACACCAGGAAATACCCCAGAAAAAGAAGATATCTACAGTATTTGTGGCAGCACATGAATAAGTGCCTATATCCTTTGCACTTATTTGTATATGATTCAATATGAGGTTCAGATTGTTGGTCACCACACAACTGACACCATATTGCGGTCTGTGTTTTAATTCAGCCTAAGCATGGAAAATTATTTATGTTGAGTATGCAAAAAAAGTAAACTGACTATAGCTGGCACCACTGAGTTTAAATCGGTAGCCCTACACCTCAAAGTTTTCGAAACAGTTTGGAAACAATTCATCGGAAACAATTTCTTTTGAGTTGCTCACAAAGCAGACAAGGATAGAACGTGCATTTCGGTATGTTATTGAATTCAGCCTCATTACATGAAAGGGTTAATATCGTCAGCTTGCTATGACATTCTGCTGAGCCATACTTATGAAGACTGAGTGGAAAATGATCAAGCCCGACAATTTATCATGGCAGTGCAGTTCCATGGAATTAATATTGCAGCAAAGACATTATTAGATAGCAAAGATCCTGTAAATGAAGAATTTTGAAATGAAATGCATATAAAGATCCTTATTAAGGCAAAATGGCAATTACAGAATCTTTTGTGCATGCAATTACCATTCGGTTTAAAAGTATTTAAAAAATAGATTATTTTGAGTGAAGGGGTCATTATATACCGATGTATCCCATCTCATTAACAAAATTACTAAAAATGTTTTAGTTTGTAAGGAAATAACCGAGATTGCATGTTAAAAAATGATGTACTGTACTGTACGTTGTTAATTAACAAAGACTTAGCGCAGACCTCTCAAATGTCATTCAGCATAAAAACAGTCTTCATGTTTCAGAATCTTTTACATTACATACAAGACAATTGAAGCACTGTAGAATACATGTGCTGTGCCTCACATTAGGAAGAATGATGCAGTTAGCATGGGGGACCCCTGACTGTAAAAGGAACAATTCCACAACTTGCACTGATAAGTGGTGAGAGAATCTTTCATCGTTGGACCATCAGGCCCTTTCCATATAGTCAGAAATACAGAGCAGCCCCTTTTCCACCAGAATTAAAAAAAACCTCCACACACACGCTCCATAAAGCCAATAGCACAAGAAGTGAGCCCCCCATGAATGCAAAAAAAAAAAGACACCTTGCACCAGGAGTATAGCACTGGCTGAACTCCAAATTATTTTAAAATCTTAACACTCTTCTGAGTGACATATGTTAGAGGTTCATCCTCTGTCCTTTTCGAGCACCTACTGAAACAGTGGAGCTTTTAATGTGAGAAGAGAAAACAAGTCAAGACAAAATGCAAATGCAGTGAGGCGTAGCACTGAACTATGCAAAAGAACTCAGTTTGTTAGAAAATGCCGCAATACTGGACTTTTCTATGTCAAATTTGTCTTGTAATGTTTTTCAGCAGTGCAGCTTTGTTGGTTTGGTTTTTGTATTGCACAGCCAGGACAATGTGAATAATGGATGATTAGAACAGTGTTTCTCAACCTTTTCCATCCCACAACACACATAGAGAAAATATACATTACTCCCTGCCCTCCATATGCACACAAGTCACTGACCCAAGCACATTGCTGTTATTAATATTACACACAAAAACGTATTTCACTGTTTAATCTGAGAACGCGTTACAGTCCATAGTTGCCATATCCTTGAATAAGACAGTGAAACACAGAGCTCCTGCTCTGTGGCTCTTTGACATTCTCTGTTTTTGTGTTTTATGTGTGTCAAAAATTCATTGATAAAAGAAAGTCCACATTGCAGATAACTCTCATAGAAGTGTCGACTCGACCTTTTTTTGTGCTGCCATTCAGCTTCATAGCTGCAAGTGGATTTTCAAATATTTATCCTTTTTCCCCTCGTTCTGTCTCATTGTAGTAACCAGGAGGGTTTTCAAAGCAAAGATGCTGACCTGGTGGATCAGAACCCTGTGCTCATAATGTAGTTGCTTCTTCACCAAAAGTGCTGTCCCACAAAGTTTGAGTCAAGGGCCATATCACAAAAACAACAGCTGCTCTCTCTATACCTCTGACACCATGTCTGTGCAGCTATTACTTAGCCTGTTTGTTTTTTTCCCTGACTTCTTTCTCTTTCCCACAGCTCTTTTGCTCTGTTCCTTGACTCCCGTATTTTCCACAGTCTTTCTCACCCACTCATCTCTTACAAGCTGACTACCCCCTTTTATGCTTCAGCCCTGTATTTACATGATTCAGATATCTCCACACGCCGTTCCCTCATGAACAGTCTTAGTCGTGGCCTCTGTCTTATGAATATACAAGGTTCCTCCACAAAACAATTGAATAAACAATAATTAGCTTGTTTACTGTTTTATTTTTCTTGTGTCTTTTCCATACTTCCACTTGTTAATATCAGGAGGCGCAGAGGGTGATAAATGCTCCATTACAAATTGGAAAGCTTTTTTCCCTCCCAGAAACCAGTGTTGTATTCAAGATGAATCTATTTGTGTACTTTAAAGTGCTAGGTTTCATCTTCTTACCGTCCAATAGTTGATGTGTGTCATAGGGTTGTGTTTGGCAAGAGGGGTAACTAGTCAATCCTGGGGGTCTAAATTCAAAGACTCTTGACTTTATCAGATGTGGAATTCTGTTGTGAAGTAAGATATTTAAGTTTGCGTACTTCAAAGAACAAAGTTCCTTAAGCACTTACAGTTAGAGTGAATTAAATGGGTAAGAAGGAAGTCACTGCTGGGCGGTGCTTAATGACTGATTCCTCACAAAGCCTGTGAATTAATAGATGGGTTAAACTTTGAAAGTCTCTTGTGGTGAGGTTCGGAACTCCGGCTCGGCTTTAAAAGCTAACTTTTAACTGCAGACAATGCCTGTTAAGTTTGGTTTGAATTTTAATTTAGAGAATGAACAGGAGAGCTGAGTTTCTTACTTTCATCAACAAGGGCAAAACAGACAGCTGTTCTTTCTAGACCACTTGCCATAGAAAAGGTCAGGAAGTTCTCACAAAAAAACACACTTTCCCAATGCTGTGTCTTTCATTTGTTGAATGGTGCCTTGATGGATTCTTCTTCATGAAAGTGAATTTTTGAAAGGCCAGCAGAAAGCGCAGGCAGAGGTGAACACTTCAACGAGCATTATTCCAGCCAGTAGAAGTGCTTTTTTAACAAATGGTATTGAGTTAATAAAAAATAGGTTTTGCACTCCAAGGTACACAAGAAACAGTGTTCTGCATTAGTTGACACTGAAAATGAAATGTTGAAAATGTTTCTGTTTTCAACTTATTTTGAACTGCTTTAGGTATTTTGGATTTCTGATTTATGTTGAACTCCCAAAAACCAATAATCTACAAAATGACTCAAAAGTAGTTCAACTCTAAGTTCTGCCCACATTAACCCTATTGTAGCAGGATTAGCTTGACTTTTATATTAACAGATGCTGTTAATATTAGATCCTGAATACTAGAGAATTTAGATCCTTCTAAAACATTAAAGTGTTTGTTAATAACAAACCCCTTTCTTGATTGTTGGATACAGTATATAGGGCTTTTCCGGTTAATTAAGGAATTAAGAGTTCCTTAATTGGGACGCACCTTATAAATGTAACTTGTAATTATTGTTATTTTCAGTTGGCAATGATGATGAGCTATACGTGTAAATCACAAGACTTTTGTTTGGGTGGAACTATATACATTTATTCTGTGCTAAGAAATATCAGTAAGAGTCTTAAGAGGTTACAGAAGAGAACATGCTTTGCAAATCGCATTTTCTCAGCACCTGACAGGGGTAAAGTGTGTTATCGTGAAAACTCCCTGACCTGTGGGTAAGGTACAGGGTCTACAAGCACTTCATTCTCTGCGAAACAAAAGCTTTGTATTCACTGGCTGTACATCAACTGATCTGCTGGCAACACTTTACACTACAGCTGCTGTTTCTTATGTCTTTGGCCAATAGAAAACACTGTAATGCATTTTTTTACTGCTTGGCAACCTTTGCAATTTCTGTATTCTAGATATTCCAAATGAATATCAACATTCTATAGAGCATTTTGTT